CAAGTACAACAACAGCAGCTCCATCCACAACTACAGCAGCTCCAACCACAACCACATCTGCTCCAACAACAACCACAAAAGCTCCAACCACATCCAGAGCAGCTCCAACCACAACTACAGCTGCTCCAACCACAACAGCAGCTGCATCAACCACAACCACAGCAACTCCAACAACCACTGCAGCTCCAACCACAACCAAAGCAGCTGTAACAACAACCACAGCTACTCCAACCACCACAACAGCAGCTTCAACGACAACAACAGCAACACCGACCACAAACACAGCAGCTCCAACCACCACCACAGCTGCTCCAACAACAACCACTGCTACTCCAACCACAACAACAGCATCTCTGACCACAACCACAGCTGCTCCAACAACAACCACTGATACTCCAACCACAACAACAGCATCTCTGACCACAACCACAGCTGCTCCAACAACAACNAGCCACAGCAGCTCCAACCACAACCACAGCAGCTTCAACCACAACAGCAGCTCCAACCACAACCACAAGTGCTCCAACCACAACTACAGCTGCTACAACCACTACAGCTACTCCATCCACAACCACAGCAGCTCCAACCACAACCACAGCAGCTCCAACCACAACAACAGCAGCTCCAACCACAACTACAGCAGCTACAACCACAACCACAGCTGCTCCAACCACAACCACAGCACCTCCAACCACAACAACAGCTGCTCCAAGCACAACAACAGCAGCTCCAAGCACAACAACAGCAGCTCCAACCACAACTACAGCAGCTACAACCACAACCACAGCTGCTCCAACCACAACCACAAGTGCTCCAACCACAACCACAGCAGCTCCAACCACAACAACAGCAGCTCCACCCACAACCACTGCTACTCCAACCACCACAACAGATGCTCCAACAACAACCACAGCTGCTCCAACCACAACTACAGCAGCTCCAACTACAACTACAACAGCTCCAACCACAACCACAAGTGCTCCAACCACAACTACAGCAGCTCCAACTACAACTACAGCAGCTCCAACCACAACCACAAGTGCTCCAACCACAACCACAGCCCCTCCAACCACAACCACAACAGCTCCAACCACAACCACAAGTGCTCCAACCACAACCACAACTACAGCCAGTCCAACAACAACCACAGTAGCACCGACCACAACCACAAGTGCTCCAACCACAACCACAGCAGCTCCAACCACAACCACAAGTGCTCCAACAACAACCACTGCTACTCCAACCACAACAACAGCTGCATCAACCACAACCACAGTAACTCCAACAACAACCACAGCAGCTGTAACAACAA